GTGGTCATCCCCACGTATTGGAGGCCACATGGGCACTCGAGCAGATAAATAACATTTTTCGTATGGCAGCTTATAAAGTCATAAATATCATACACTTTTTTGGTTTGATTTGACATAAATTTTGTAATTTTTGGTAAAATGACATGATCCAGTTTTACATACAATGCATTGTTTACATCTAAAGAAACCTTTCGTCTGAGGAAAAAATGATAAAAAATTTTAAAGGAGATTTTTTTGTAAAATTTGTAGTTAAAATAGATTTAAAATTAGGTGCTCCTCTAAAAACAATGTTTCGATGAGTAGGTATAATGGAATTGAGTATCTCATCATGTTTAAGTATGTGCCAATGTTTTCTTATTATTTTTTTAACATCATTACTTTTATTATTGAAATTAAAAATAACTGGAAGTGATATAGTTTCATTGTTTTCTTTATTTTTATATATCAGAAGTTCTTTTCGTTCTTTTTGTTTGACTGTATTAATTGTAATATTCAGATCTTGTTCTGAATATTTTTTTTCAATAAATTTATTTTTTAAAAACTCTGCTTGTTCATTAAAATCTGTGAGTTCTGAGCAATTTCTACGAAGGCGTAAAAACTGGCTTTTTGGGGCACTTTCTAGCCAAGGTTTATAGTGACAACTAGATCTGTCTATAGCCGTGTTTACACATACTTTTTTGAAGAAAGTTTTTGTTTGGAGTTGTCCGTTATTAATAAAAATATTTAGGTCTAAAAAGTTGATTGTTTGTTTACTGAATTCATGTGTAAGGATAATACCCCTATTGTTGGTATTTAAATGATTAATAAAATCCATAAGATATTTTTCAGGTCCATCCCAGATAAAAAAAAGGTAATCTATATATCTGAAGTAGGAGACTAGGTTTGCCCGCCAGGTATGGTTGCCCCATATGGCTTCATTTTCCCAATCAGCCATAAACAAATTGGCGTAACTAGGGGCAAACCTAGTCCCCATAGCAGTGCCTCTTCTTTGTAAATAAAAAGAATCTAAAAACCAAAAGTAGTTGTTATTTAAAATAATATTGATACCTTCTATTATAAAATCAATTTGAATGTCAGGAATCCTAGCTTCTTGAGTTAAAATTTATTTTATAGCTTGGCAACCAATATCATGGGGGATAATGGTGTAAAGAGACTGGACATCACATGTGACTAATATAAAATTCTTATTCCAAGTAAAATCATTTAAAAATTTTAAAAGTGACATGGAGTCTTTTAAATATGATTTCATAAGTTTAACCGAAGGCTGGAGAAGGGTATCTATATATTGGGAAAGGTTACTTAAAAGTGAGCCTATCCCTGAAACAATGGGTCTTCCTGGGGGATGTTTTTCATTTTTATGAATTTTAGGAAGAAAGTAGATGACAGGGGTGATTGGATATTCTTTGTTTAAAAAGTTATATTCGTGCTTATTTAAAATTTTATTAAGAAATTTAAGTAAAGTGGTTTGAATATTTTTAATCGGATCAGTTGGAAGTTGTTCATAAACATTTCGGTCTTTTAATTGCCTATGGGCTTCGTCTATATACATTTTACTAGATTGAATAACAACTCCTCCCCCTTTGTCAGCTGCTTTGATGACAATATCTCGGTCTTTTTGGAGTTCTTTGATGGCCTGTCTTTCACTATTTGTGAGATTATTAGGGTCATATTTTTTGTATTTAATTTTTTCTAAATCTTTAAGAACAAGTTTTTCAAATAAAATCAAAGGAGCTGATTTAAAATGGGATGGATAAAATTTAGATTTTTCTCTAAGATGTGTGTTTAAAAAAAGGCTATTTGGTGTCTCTGAAGGAGAAGGTAAAATAGATGGGGCAAGTTCTTCATCATTTTTACTTTTAAAAAATCTTTTCAAAGTAGCCTTTCTAACAAATTTATTTACATCGAGAAAGGCTTGAAATTAATTAAAAGAGGAGGTGGGGGCAAATTTGAGACCCTTACTTAAAACGGACAGTTGTGCAGCTGATAAGACTTTTTGAGAGAGATTAAAAATGCCATTGCAGGAATTAGTAGAGGGTATTATTGTCTTTCCAATCTTTCTCTTTTGTTCCCTTCTTCCGCTTCGTCTTCCTCTGGTTTAAAGTTCTTTTTTGGGAGCGTGATGGGTATGGTGTTTGGGCTAGCGCAGGTTGGTGAGTGCGTATCTCTAAAAAATGATCCTCGTTATTAAAGTCAGAGTCGACTGATAATAATTGGTATCTGTTAGTATGATTAGGAATAGTGGGTGATTTTGAGTAATTGGAGTACTCATTGTGATCATTTGTGTACCTAGATCTTTGTGGTTTAGGTGAGAAATGGAAGCTAGAGGAGTTTTGATATTTAGGTGATTGTGGTATAGGATTATAATTGACGTGGGGGAATTTTCTTTGTACTGCTCTTTGATGATAGCTTGGATCAATCCACCCAAGCTATCATCAAAGAGCAGTACGTCTGCTCTTACTTTGTAAGTACATTTCTTTTATTTTTTTATTACTATCTGCCATACAGTGAGAACTATTGGCTGTTTTGTTTTATTCCGAGAATTGGATACCATTCACGGAGAGGAACCTGCCTTATATCCCATAAGCGGGGATTAAACCGCTGTACGCGCTTCACTCCAGAGCTGGACATTAGCTCTGGTAAATGTGAGTTTTATACCACTATTCTTACCTCTAGATTCGAATTTTACATACTACACCATTGGTTGTCCCTCTTTTTTTCTCTTTTTTTATCTTTTATTAAGTGAAACCACCATAATAAATAGAAGACCTCATCAATCAAGAACACCAGTAAGAACAAACTAATTGGACTTTCCTTATTTTACTTATATTGGACTTTATTTTATGTGCGCAGCCTTTTATTGTTTTTATTGTACTTTGTTTTAAAGGGTTTGAGGGACTCCCTTTTTAAGGTTGCTGCCTACAGTTATTTAGCGCTGTCTCATTCCTCTTTTTTATTATTGTGGAGTTCTCAGCGGTGTTCGCCTAGTCGAGTGTCCGATTTGGGTTCCAGACACTCGACGGCAAAACACCGCTGTTCGGGAGTTTTAAAATGGCCGCCACCACGTGTTCGTTTCCCGAATGGCGGCCACCCCGAGAACAAAGGACCTACTGCATAGCTTGTTAATTACCCGTTCGCAACAATGTTGCAATGGGTAATTGAAGGCACACTTCACACAGGGGAGGTCTGATTGTTCGGTAGTTTCATTCCCTTAGTTTGTTCAAATGATTCTACCGAACAATCAGACGAATACACTTTATTTAAACACATACAAAACCATCAGTTTACCCGAATGCAGTTATACACATGTAATTTTCAGAACAGCCCAGTGCCATCCGCTACAGTCATGATTTTATTAATGACACGGTGGCGAGTATTATTCCCGCCCACCCCCACCAGGGTGACTAGCGTACGTGTTTTCGGATTCCTCACGGTAAGTGGGAGTAAGTATATCTCTTAGATTGGTTTATGTTTATTATAGTTTGGTTGTGGGATACTAGCTTATACAGAGCATGGTTGTTTTAGGTAACACACAGTCATCACTCAACAGTTTGACTTTTCTGGATGAAGTTATTGGTTTAGTTCATGATATCCTGGTCTTCGGTTGCAGAACCCAAGAAAGAGGAAGTTCACTGATTGGACCGTTACTTTTATAGAATATTCGATCGGTTGATTGGCTGCCCTGTCACTAGCCAGTTTATTGCATTATACGATTTAAGTTAAGTTTTTTCTCTCATTCTTGCTGCTGAGGGAAATAAATAGAAAGAGAATGCATAATACTCGCCTCTGTGTCATTAATAAAATCAAGACTTTACATCATTTTAAATAGTAAAATCTAGGAATTGTCATGTATAAAAATGGGCATTAATTCTCTGTATGAAAATATAATTTTGACTCTTTTTAAAACAATAGTAAGACCACACCTTAATCATGCTGTACTATTTTGGGCCCCTGTTCTAAAATATATGGCACTAAAAAAAGCACAGAGGGGTCCTACAAAATTAAAAAGGGGAATTGAATATTTTAGTTCTGAAGTAAGGTTAAATTTAAATTTAGCTTAGAAAAAAACAGCACCTCAGAGGGGATATGATAGCATTATATAAATATATGCAGGGTCAATACAAACTATCGTCTGGAAATATATTTGTAAAGAGGACTATATATAGGACACAAGTCTACCCACTAAGACTGTAAGAAAGGAGAATTAGTCTTAAGCAAAAAAATGTTTTAAACAGTAAGAACAATAAGGATATGGAATTCTCTGCTTGAAGATGTGGTTTTATCAGAGTCTATACAGGTGTTTAACCCCTTAAGGACACATGACATGTGTGACATGTCATGATTCCCTTTCATTCCAGAAGTTTGGTCCTTAAGGGGTTAAACAGCAACTGGATGAATTCTTGCAAAACAATATTCAGGGATATAATTTTCTATAGGTGAGGTAATAACTTATTGATCCAAGGAGATATCCAACTGCCATTTTGAGGTCAAGAAGGTGTTTTTTTTTTTTTTTTTTCTAGGTGGTGCAGGACATACTTGGGGCTATAGTATGGTATGAAGGAGCACGCGGCACCCGTCATCTTGTGTTTGCATGAGTGCAAGTTGCTTGGTCAGTGGAGAAGCCACGGATCTGCAGCTTTGCCAGGGAGCAGACCAGGATAACCCCCACCAGTCCAAAGGGGGGAAACAGGGCACCAATCAGCAGCATAGGTCTGGGCAGAGATCGGCTGCTTCCCCCATTCTCCCAGATTCACTAGGCTGTCAAGCCAGCTCAGATTTCCTCAGTAGCATGGACATCTGGGGGAATCAATACACATTCAGATAACACCCTAAATCGGTTCACGGGCACTACAGGAGTATCCAGTGTCGTCGATGAGTATACAGTTTGCAGGGATAGCTGCTCTTGTTAGAGTAAATGCCGGAGCTCCCACTAGATGCTTCTGCCCGGCCTGGCAGTCAGGCCCCTCGGTGGAGTAGTGAGTGAGAGAGATCGATCACAAATTCTGCTTACCACTAGACTTCTAGCAGCTAGCAATGTCTTTCTGGGTTTGAGGTCTGAATAAACATATTCTCTTGCCAGGGTTAAATATCTGCATAATGTGAGGGGAATAGTGGAAATGTTGAGCCCTGCTCTCTTAGGTCTCACAAGAAAATCAGTCTTTTCATAGAACTTTTTTCTTTTAATAGATAATCAAAAATGACAAACAAAAACATAAATGAACACAATTTTTTTGGAAGCAATGCATTTTCTGTAGTGAACATGTTAAATTCAACAGAAGTTCTGTAATTTCATAAATGAACATGGACTAAATGGACAAAAATCAAGAAAGCCAAAACCAATAGTGTAAAAAACAAAAAAAAACAAAAAAAAAACCCCAAAATATATAGGTAATTAGTAAAATGTAAAATTCTATTCTTAAATTATTCTACTGCTCAGTAGGAGAAAGATGTTTATGTACTGACAGCATGGCAAACTACAAGTAAAAATCCCAGTGTACCTGTTTCGCATAGCCTAAAAATAACTCCAAAATAAAGGAATGTATTGCGTTTTGAATATCTACAAGGCACAAAGTCAGACACTAGAGGCATAACAAAATACATTCAGTCACATGACAAAATCCATGAATATAAAATATGCTATTTGAGATTGAACCTTTTTTTGCTTTGCTTAGAACATATCAAACTAGCCCCCTTAAACTGCAGAGTTCAGTTTTCCTTATGCACCAAGCAATTATCTGCAAAACTTTAAATATTTATTGAAATTGTCATCACTCGATTGAGGGAAAAAACAAAACGAAAAGACAAATAATGAAAAAAAAATAAAAAAAAAATAAGGACAGATCTCTAACAAATGTTAACGGTTTTGAAAATATCATATATAGTTCTACAAAATATATACAGATTAATAATCAATGAATGCTTTAGTTTTCCTATGTTTGCCTATGAAGATGAAAATAACATATGTATGCTTAATACAAACCTTGTACGTCCCACAAAAAAGTAATAATAATAATAGAGGAACCGAGAGTGCTTATGGAATATCATATCCTTTAAATTGGCAAATGTTGGATTTTTTTTTACTACTTTTGTAAAAAAGTGAGTGTTCTTTTCAGTACCGAAAATTGTCATTGTTGGCATTTAAATCCTTTTCTTTACAACCGAAGGCCATCTATTTTATTTCTTGCTTAAAATCAAAACAATTATGTGTATGGTTACTCATACTGTTGCATGAGTGTTGATTTTTTTTTTTTTGTATGGAGCAGGTAACAGCAGAGTAGTGTATGAACTTCAATTTCAAAACTTCAACATTCATACAAAGATTATGCATCTTAAAATAAATCTGTTTTCTGTGTAATTCCCCAAGAACCTTTTCACGAAGTTCAGGCAACTCTGATTACACGTGGTAGGAATGCTGTCAATAAATGGCAGCCTGGAGGCTTTGCAGTAAACAATTTACAGTAGACGCTAGAATATACATATATAATTTACAAGAGCTATGAACTGTTGAAATTCAGTATTTTTTCCATTTTGCTTAAGATGTCTGTATATTGGCATGCATCTCCTGGTTTGTATGCCATTTATTACAAGTAAATAATATCTAAGCTAGAGGAACAAAATACCAATGGTCTGTTTGGTGGTTTAACCTTCTTGTCCAAAGTCTTCTGTGAATTTCTTTAATTTTTCCAAGTCTTGTTCATTTACTGTAGGTTTGGTGTTTGATAATGACCTCATCATATCAGCCTGTAATAAAAAAAATAAAAATGCAAATCCGAAATTTTTATGCTAGACTAGAAAGTAATAATATTAATTTTGTAACTAAAACAACCTTCGTGCAATTAGGAAGTACAAAAACCTTATTATCACAACTGTACCCTATGCATTTAATTTATGATTCTTACATTTGTTAAAGGGACAAATCAAGACACCATAATAACTTTGTCAACATTAAGTTGTTATGGTGCCAGTTTACCTCACTCAGAGTGAGAAATGTACATACTTTTTTGTCACTGTGCTTTGTGAATGGGACGCTACTGATAGGCTGAGAGTGTCAGCTGATCAGCAGAGTCGCTGTTTGAGGGCCAGAGCAGACAGGTGCTGGGCATAAGATAATCTGGTGCCAAGGACCTTCTGGCACCATAACCTCTTTATTTCAATGAAGTCATTATGGTCCCCAGAGTGTCCCTTTTTATAATAAAATTTGGTATTGACATGGCTTCCTTTTTTGATTAAAAAAACCCTGTATATTCTGCTGTTTACCATAAAGTTTTAAAGGTAGAGTGAGCTATACATACTATTAGATATGATTTGTTTTTTTACTGAACAGAATCTACATTCAAATGATGAAATCCTATGTGTGGATAACATTTTGGTGGATAGAAACATCAGAGTATAATTGGCAGAAAATGTAAAAAGTAAAATAAAAAATTGTCTTCTGCCATTTGCTCTCTAGGAAAGAGTTATAAGCATTGTTTATATTTTTACAACTTCCCCCGAAAGCCTTCTTCAGATCGTGTAAAATAATTCACTCTAACTGTACTACTCAAAATATATCCCAACTTGAAATGATGTCCTAAACTAGATATAATTACATGCCCACTGTGTCTGTAGAAGTGTACATACTGAAGTGATTTGTCTCTGTTGTATGATACCAGTTCAAATAATGCCAGAAGTGTAAAACATGAATGGCATAAGATAACACAAACAAAACATTATATACCGTGTTTCCTCGCCGTTAAATGGTCTTTCTAAAGATACCATTATTTTCATCATATCCTATAATCTACTATAAAATATTTTTTATAAAATGATAAAACAAAAACAAAACATTTTTCAACTTTACATTTTTTTTCTAAAGTAGACAACCCAGGGTATTCAATATGGGGCGTGTCCAGTCTTTTTTTTTTTTTAGTAGCCACACTGGCCAAAGTTAGCATTTATATTTGTTTGTATGTTAAAAAAGTAAATATAAATTGCTACTAAAAACAAAAACAAAAAAAACTGAACATACCCCATTTGCAATACCTTGGGTTGTCTTCTTTTGCAAATGGTATGCAATCATGTGGGTAATTCAAATTCCTGGGCTACCATACGCTCTCGAAGGCAACATAACCAATCTGGCAAATTTCAATGTAAAAAAACCCCCCAAAAAACCAAACAAAAATCAAGCCTTATATTTGACCCTGTAACTCTCAAAAACACTATAAAACCTGTACATGGGGGGGTACTGTTATACTCAGGAGACTTCGCTGAACACAAATATTAGTGTTTCAAAATAGTAAAAACGTATCACAACAATTATATCATCTGTGTAAGTGCCGTTTGAGTGTGAAAAAATGCAAAAAAGTCACTTTCATGGACAATATTATCGTTGTAATACATTTTACTGTTTTGAAACACCAATATTTGTGTTCAGCGAAGTCTACCGAGTAAAACAGTACCCCCCCATGTACATGTTTTATGTTGTCTTGGAAAGTTAGAGGGTTAAATAGAGTGCTAGCAAATTAAATTCTCTGGACTTTCTGCCTGGGTTATCAGGCAGGTCCCTCAAACTGCAATCAATAAAATTACTTAATTATCTAAAAATATCACATTAATATTCATGTAGAATTTAAATATACATATTTATATATTTGAAGTCTACTTGTATATTTATGAAATTATTTATGTAATTATGTATATGGACATATGTAGATTTCTTATTTTTTTATTTTCATTCTAAGTGTATTTTGATCTAAATATATATTAATATCAAAATACAGTTAGAATAAAATTACATATAATTTTTTTTAATATATAAAAATATAAATACACACACACAAAATTAAATCCAAGAAAGGATAAAATAAAGGTGGATTGGTGCTTAAAAGTGCAAATGTAAGTGCAACAACCCCCAGTGTCTAAAATCACTCAAATGACACTGAATAAACTTTACTTAAATAAAAACAAATAGATAACAGCAAACTGAAAAAGACTGATCTAGGTTGAAACCTTTTACCTCATCTTTGTTATTAGCTTATTCAGCTGCGGTTATCTGTTTGTTTTTATTCAAGTATTCAACATTTGGCATGTTGCGATTACAATTTCTCTAGTAGTCACAGAATACAAAACCGCAACACAAAAAAGGAGTATGGACATGAGGGATTTTCCAGCTCACACAGTACAGATTGCAGCACGACAGGGAGATCTACCTCTCATCCTGCATCTACTAAAACGGTTGTGTGTAGTTGGCAAATTCCAGCACAGATTACTGGGCAAATAGGCTTGCAGGTAGACTTCACCAGGGTCTACTCAGAGGCACACTCAGAATCACCGCAGCTGGGCGTGAATGCCAAGCCGCAGTGATTTAAAATGTTGCACATCGCTCACCTGTCAGTCTAGGGCGACCAATTGTGGCCTCAGATGACAGAGGGATCTCAGGTATTGAAAGATATCTGCAGTTTCCCGATATTAGTAGTAGCTAGGCTAGGTGCAGGCTCAGAACTACCATGGCTGAGTGCAATTTCTCAGCTGCAGTAGTTAAATGGCTATGTGCAGCACTAACTTTGAGATGATTTAACCCTGTCAGTATTGTTATTGCATGAGTTTCTATGATTTTATGCAGTGCAGGGCCATGCCACCATGTAGTATTTAAAGCGTTAATTAAGTGGTTATGTTGTAAAGCTCATGCTGTGTCACTGCTCAATTCTCTGCTGTTTAGGAGTTAAAATACATTGTTTTTGCAGCCTCTGACTCTCACAGCCTGTATAAAAATGTTTACTTCTGCAACCTCAAAAAAATAAATAAAAAAAAAATACAAAATCTAAATCAAACTGTTCAGCAATGGTTTAACTTCTTACCTAGGATCCTTGTCTGATCCAGGAGAGCTTGATCCAGGAGAGCCTGATCCTCCTACTTAGAACTTTCATTAGCTCTATTTAGCTAAGTGTGGACCTAACTGAAAGTGTCAGTTGACCTTTTTCAGCTAATGATCCAAGCTCTGCACCACCAGACTTAGCCAAGAGCTAAGAGCTTCCAACAAAGAAGGTAGAGAGCGGTGCTAGTTGGACCCCAGGAAAGACTATAAACCATTACTAAATGGCTTGACTTACATTGTGAGAGCACCGGGATACTACTGGCACCATAACCTATGACACTTTAACTATTGCTTTGACCCCTTAAGGACACATGACATGTCATGATTCCCTTTTATTCCAGAAGTTTGGTCATTAAGGGGTTAAGCTAAAGTTCTTTTGGTGCTTAGAGAGAGAGTCCCTTTCACACAAGTTAAATGTGATTTTCAATGTTTATTTACTGGTGATCAACAGAGAAGCTAAAGTTTCCATTTCAAAGTCCTAAGTAGTAATGGTTCCCCTTTATTTGGGGGAAAAATAAAAATAAATGACCACAACTAACCATGCATACAACTGGCTCCAGCAATGTATCTCCTGGAACATCCATCCAGGTCATCTCTTCAGCATTTGGATCACCAGGAGAGCATGGGGTAAGGAGATCGTCACGGATTACATTTGGATCGAGAGGAGATTTACCACGTACCTAAATAAAAATAGATTGTATTACAAAACATATAGTAACATTTTATGATAGATTTGTGTCCTCACCAGCCTCCCAAAACAAAACAGTAAAGAACACCACACAGGTTCTCATGAACTGTAGAGATAAGGATGTGCTATACTACGAAGGTACATGTGAGCTTGTTATTTGTTGTGGAATATTTTGAACGACAATAAATGTCAAATAGTTAGGAATATGAATAACAATAATAGTAGGAATCACACATTTATGAAGGATAGATCATGGAAATGTAATCCATGTTAAATTATATAACAACATAAAAATAAACCTATTCTAGGAATAGGAGCATAGATAAATACATATCAGAGTGCTGCAGCGGATACACTACTTAAATAGGCAGTTGGCCGCTCTACAAAACGAAAGAGACAGCACTGAAGGAATATGCTTGTGTTTGGATTAAAACAAAAACAAACAAACAAAAAAACTCACTTGCATGTATTAACCCCTTAATGAGACGGCTTCAAAAGTTTATCATACCCTTAAGGACACAAGCCATTTTTGCGGTTTGTGTTCAAACGCAATTTGCATCTTTGTCATTTATTGCACCAACACATACTGTATACCGTTTTTTAGAGGGGCAAAAAGGGCTTTAATTTGATGTTACATATATATAGATAAATTCTCATTAATGCCAAAACATTTCTCCCCCCTCCCCCACAGTTTTGGCAATAATAGCGTGTGCATAATTTCCAGCTTATGAAAAATAATTCAAAATATATTCATTTATGTGTCTTGATTTATAGAGTACATAATATGTATAGGATTTCAGCTTATTTTGAAAATTACAGGACACAAAATACAAGGACTAAAATAAAATTTCAATGTCAAACAATTTTAGAAGTTGGTATGTTTGTCTTGTAGGTTTAGTAGCCATCACAGAAAAGTATATATTTATATAAAATAGATATCACATGTTATTTACCTAAGGTTAGTTTGACACTTCACGTAGCCATTTCATCGCCAATCTCTGCTAAATATTGGAGTAAAATTTAGTTTTTTCCCCCTCTATTTTGGCATATACACATATAACAAGGTTTTTGTAATGTGTATTTCAAAAAGCTGGTGTGCTATTCCTGCACAGAACCCCATATTGTGTTCAGCCACATCTGCTGAGTATAACGATACCTCCATTGTATGCCTTTGGCACTATTCTGCAAAGCTACAATGCCATATAAGAGACAAGGTTATTTCAGTTTCTACAGTCAGAATTTTCATAGATGGATTTTACATGTCTCATTTTAGGGTATTATAACAGTGTGACTGTTCAAATAACCCCACAAAGGGCTTTCATTTGATAAAGCAGACACCCCAGTGTATCTTATATGGCATATATTGTGCCTTAACCGGTCACCATTTTTTCACCAATGTATGCCAATGTTTGTGGTGAGGGGAAAATTTTTTACATACATGTTGCATTTTTGCTGAGTATTTCTTACACTTTATTTGCCACTGTCATAAAATCCCTGAAACTATGCTCAGTTACATCTTCTGAATAAAACAATATGCCCAATGTATGACCTAGCCACTATTTAGAGAAGGGCTACTAAACTGGTTCATGGATTGCAGGATAAAACTTACCAGGAAAGGTTAAAGGATCTTAACATGTATAGCTTGGAGGAAAGACGAGACAGGAGGGATATGATAGAAACATTTAAATACATAAAGGGAATCCACACAGTAAAGGAGGAGACTATATTTAAAAGAAGAAAAACTACCACAACAAGAGGACATAGTTTCAAATTAGAGGGGAAAAAGTTTAAAAATAATATCAGAAGCATTACTTTACTGAGAGGGTAGTGGATGCATGGAATAGCCTTCCAGCTGAAGTGGTAGAGGTTAACATCGTAAATGAGTTTAAGCACGTGTGGGATACGCATAAGGCCTAACTATAAGATAAGGCCAGGGACTAATAAAAGTATTTAAAAAATTGGGCAGACTAGATGGGCTGAATGGTGCTTATCTGCCGACACATTCTATGTTTCCATTTTGTTTCTATTTTGTGAAGTTACAGTGCTGTAAAAGAGACATGACAAGTTCAGGTTTTTTCAAGTGTGAATTTTCATGGAGGGTTTTGATGCATCCATGTCCCACTTTGGAGCACTTTATCAGGCTGCATATTCCAACTACACCATAAAGGCATACCATTTTTTTTTTTAAAGAAGACATCCTAGGGTATTTCAAAATGCATATTTTAAACCTTAGCGATGCATCATTTTCCACTAGCTTGTACCAAGTGTAGTAGTAATAAGCATTTTTATGCCTTTTGACACACAAAGTGAGTTTGTACAGTATATTTTGCAAACCTTATGTGTGCTACGGCTGTATAATACTTCATATGTTGCTCAGCTATGTTGTCTGAGTACAGCAATACCCTCAATATGTACCTTTGCTAAGTATATGTGGATGGTGAAGGGGCTCATTTGAGACGCAGCCAGTTTTTTTTCTAACTGAAGTTTTACACTATGTCCATGTTCCACTTTGGAGTAGTTTAGCTGGTTTGTTATTCAAACTACTCCATAAACGCATACCATTTTTTAAAGAATACACCCTGGATATTTCAAAAGGCATATTATGAACCTTGGCATGTAATGAGCATTTTTAAAATTTATTTTTTTACTCTTTTAAAAACATTTTTTTGTTTTTTAAACTTATTAAATTTTTTAAACTTTCTTAAAAAAACATTTTTTTACTGTTAACCCCTAATAGCAGTAAGCAGCACTAACAGTAAATTCCCCAATTTCCCATAACGCCCACCCACCCCAGCTAGCAAAATATATAATAAATCAATTAATGAAATAAACTGAACCTCTGAGGGTTAAAAAAAAATAAAAGTTCACTGTTTGGAAAATTATCGCTGGAAATGTAATGTAACTGCTCACGTTCTTCTTTATAACATGCTCTGCATTAGAAAATTAAAATAAAGAATTTAATAAAAAAAAAGTGTAACCCCTCAGGGGTTAAAATAAAAATAAAAATCAGATCACAGTATTATACTGTGATCTGTATTTTGATCACCATAGGCAGTGATCAACTGGCAGGGAAGGCGTTAATTTTTATTAGGACTGGGTAAAGGAGGGGTGGGATTTATTATTATTATTTTAATGTTAATAAAACTTTTTTAAAAACCCTTTAAACGTTAACCCCTAGCTAGCCGAACACCAAGTTCCCCACTAACTTCCACCCACCCCAGCTAGCTAAATATAGAACTTTAAAATATCTAAATAAATAAAATAAATTTAACCCCTGAGAGTAAAAAAAATAAATAAATCTGGTGACCATAAAATGTAGTCCCTGCCAATTGATCACTATAGTCTGATCAATTGGCATTGAAGGGGTTAATTTTATAAATATGAAGACAAAAAAAAAACAGAACACACACACACACACCACTTTACACTTTACAAGCAGGCATTATCATTAGATAATAAATACATACCCTTTTAAAGTGAGTGGCAGATTGAACTTTCCTGACTGGCTGCATTAGGGCATCACGCACAATGATGCTGACGTCAGCACCAGAATATCCCGGTGTTCTTTTTCCTAGCTCTCGATAGTCTGCTTCTGTGAGGCTGTTTTGGGTTGTCCCGAGATGAAGCTTGAACATACTAGCTCGAGCATGCTCTTCAGGAAGAGGGATGTAAATTCGTTTTTCAAACCTGTAGAGAAAAATCAATGTAAGTGTCAAATGACTGTTGCTAAATTAGTACTATACACAAAAAGATCCCGCACTCTCGCATACATTCCAGTTGCTTCAGGCCCAGGGTTTGCAAATCCCAACTTAGGTCCAGGCACTCAGGATATTGCAACATTTTGGCGTGCACAGAGATTTTTGTCAAGCTCCTTTGTTCCAATAAATCAGCCTTTTCCAATATCCTGAGTGCCTGCACCTGACATTCTTCATGTTGCTAAATTAGTGTCATTTGAGTGGACCGAAAAAGTCCAATGAATGTAGTTGATTTATGTCTTTGAGGAAGGATTTAGGAAGAGAGAATATTGAAGACAAAACAATTTTCCTACCCCTGCACATGAAATGAAAACGTTTTAATGTAATATTGCAATATCAATGAAACAACTGTGAAAGTACAACATGAATTCAAAATAGATTAATTTTAGTCTAAAAATGTTAATGCTTATAGAGCCATATGCTACACAGAAGATTAGCTCATGTCATGTTTTTTTTATAACTGTGGGTGGTAAATAAACCTTCCTTTTTTGGCACTCGTACACATATCTTTGTGAGTCTTAGGGATGGGTCAAAGCACTCTGATTGGTTGCCTTGAAATCCAACCAGAGTGCTCTGTGTCATTTTACACAGCGTGGGAAAATGCGTTGGAATTTTCCCATGCTGTGTAATTTGACTCATAATACTGTGATTGGTTGCAAATTACATTTATTTAGCCACTGGCTGCCGGTGTTCTATCATTGTGCTATACCCCGTCAAATTTCTATACACCCTTCACTTCCGGTGAGGGGAATCAGCTGGATCCTGTGCTGCACATGTGTGCTACCACTCCTGCTACTCCTCCACAGCAAGGTCCTGGAAGGTAAGTAAAACTAGTTTTACACTTTCATTATAGTTAGTGCATTCACTAAGCTTAGGACATGGGACATTTAGGGTTAATGTTAGGGTTCAAATTAGGGTTAGGATTAGGGACTTGCTCATATTTAGTGATATTTCACATTAGGAGAATATCACTAAATAGTGATTTCTCACACTTTATTTGAACCCTTACCCCAAGGGTTAGGGTAAGAATAGAGTGTGAGAGAGGTTAAAATAATTTACCTAACCCTAATTTGAACCCTCACTTAACCCTAAATGTCCCATTTGCCTAAGCTTAGTGAATGCACTAACTATAATGAAAGTGTAAAACTAGTTTTACTTACCTTCCAGGACCTTGCTGTGGAGGAGTAGCAGGAGTGCTAGCACGCATGTGCAGCACAGGAGCCAGCTGATTCCCCTCACCGGAAGTGACGGGGTATTGCACAATGATAGAACACCGGCTGTCATTTAAAACTGGATATAAATGTATGGTGTATGGAAGTGTAAAGCGGACACGTAAAAAGTGGCTATCTAGATAGCTACTTTTTCATATTGCAACATTGTTATAGTTTTTGATTTAACTTTTGGTTACATGTACTCTTACTGTAGCTTTCTATTACTTCAATATAAAATACAGATTTTTGTTTGTTTTTTTTTACATCTTATTGTGTAAAGGAGATGAGCAGTAGAAAGTAAATGTAGATACAGCCTTGTGGACTCGCAGGTCCTATATTGGGTTACAAATATATAACATTTTACAGTTAATGCAAGTATCACATGTGTTTATATTAGCATGCCTAGGACGTTTCCATCTTCTCAAAATTTGCTATTGCAGAAGTCGGACGTCAGGTGTAGACTTTGTGATGTAGTATTCGTTGACGGACAGGTTGGTGTCCGTTAGTTATGCAGGTTACAGCACCTCTAGGGGAGCACGTTCCCTGCCTTTCGTTGTTTACTGTCTAACTTCATGTGTCCGTGTTGCTGTTGATGATCAATTTCTATCAGTAGTCAATTGAACGTGTCCCCCCTTTCAGCTCGTCTATCACCCCACATTTCGGGGTTTGCGATACTTGGGGTCTTTGTGTCATTGTGTTAGCTGGGTTTTGTTCCGCTGGTTTTGTTGGCGAGGCAGTTACGTGCTCTCGGTGACTGATGCGTCTTCCCGAGCATGTTTTATCTTGGCGTAAGGTGTAATTTCAATCTCAGTGTGTGTGTTCATGTCTGATATATGAGGTACCATTCAATGATGTCTTCGTTTTTGTCATGAGGCAGGTGCGGTCGTGGGCAAACGTCCGTATGTCTATGTGTATCTTAGGTTTCTCCTGGTATGTCATTTAAGATAAAGAAGAAAGAAATAGGAAGAGTGGGTCAGAAAAGGGCGGGAGGAAGAATAAATTAGGGCGGTGAGTGGGGTTGTCTCGCCCTGTACTCACGTGATGCGGAGAGCCTGCGGCCCGGTCCGGAGCGCTGCCCCCCACGCAGGTGTCTCCCTCACTTGCAGGCAACCTTACCGTTGTCTACCTGGAAGCCCCCAGAGATTAACATGAACCATGGTAGCCAGATCTCCGCGTGTTTGCTGGCCCTGCCCAGAAGAGATGCGTGTATCGCCTCCGCTCCCTGCATTTCCTGCACTCTGCGTATCCATTCTTCTCTCCGGGGTATTTCTGTTTTTTCCAGTATACTGGTATGAGCGCTTTAGCTGCGTTCAATAGGTGTCTTAAGATCGATCTTTTATACCGGGAGATCGACATCGGTGATATGTGGAGTAGGGCCAGTTCGGCTGTCCATTTAGTCATGTTGCCTAGGATCTCCTGTATGTTAAGTCTAATCATTTCCCAGTAGTGGGTGATTGTGCTACATTTCCACCAGATGTGAATCGTGGTACCCTGTTCAGTTAGGCACCTCCAACACATTGGTGATATTGCTGGGAATATCCTGTGGAGAAGAGATGGGGTTCTATACCAAGTTGCCAACAGCTTGTAGTTTGTTGTGAGCTAATAGTGATCTTGTGATGCCAGAGTAATGCTTTATCCCATTGTTGATGTGGGAGTGGTTTCGCAAGGAGTGTCTCCCATTTTCTGCGGAACGTGTCGTGTTCTGTTAGATGTCCGGTTAAAAGGTATTGACATTCCTCGAACCACGTGAGGTCTCTGTGTAATCGGTCTTTATTGCGAAGCGTATCGTAGAAATGTTTCAGTTGTAGGTATCAGAGCATTATCTGCGGGGTGCATGGTTTGAGGGGGGAGGACAGTAGCCCCCAGCCCTGGGCAGCGGGTGGGGGCCCTAAGACAAATCTCCCCCCCAAAGGTGGCTAGTGGTCCCCCAAGCCCCTAGTCACCCACTCCCCCCCAAAAAAAAAAAGAAAAAAAAAAAAAAAAAAAAAAAGGTTACCCCCTACCTATCCCCCCATTTTTTAGCCCCCCAAAAAGGCCAAATAAAAAAAACCATCATACCTGTCGAACTTAAAATAAAAAACCCGAGAAAAAAAAAAATCCATCTTCACCCATGGAGAGCTCCGCGTAGACTGAGCTCTGGAGGGTGGGGGAAGGCTTATAAATCAGTGCCGCTTTAAATGACAGCAAGCAGCCACTGGTAGGGGCTGGTATGCGGCAAGATTTAATCTGTGCCAAGTCCCCCCTTATTGCACTAGTGGCTAGGCACTAATAGCTGCCCAGTCACCAGTACTTTTAAATTTGTTTAGGCGACATGCCCCTACTCGCGGCATGCAGGAGGATTTAACCTACCTTTTTATCAATATGGGGGTTATAGTGACCCCTATAGGTTTCAATGCAGGGGTGGGGGGGTAGGAATAGTTATTTATTACAAAGAGGGAGCTGGTAGCACTGCCGGCTTCCTCCTTACTTTTTTTGGCACATGTGCACCGCTGTTTTCGTCCAAACGGATATAAACAAAATTATTTTTTAACAAAGTTCGTTTAAAACCTAATGGTTTGTGGACGAAATTCGGGATTGACGAAATAAACTTTTATTTAGTACGAAATCATTTGTACGAAACGAAAATTTCACTGGTGCACATGTCTAGCGAATATAAAAAAGAAGGAGACAAATCCAAATAGTGCAGATGGTAACATTGTGGAATTATCTTTCTTTCCGATCTCTCTCTCTCTGCAAAATCTTTTACTCCAGTAAGGTGTAAAAATTTGTGTGTTTGAAGTAAGCGCTTAAAATTCTAAAAAAGTGTAATAGCAGCTCAAAACACTTAAATGTGGGGAATACCGCTATGCCCTCTCTCTCAATCACTTATTTACTTACGGTTTGAAGTCAGATCTCAGGATACTCCTGCTCGGTCTCAAGCCTTCTGCTTTCAGCCAGAGCCAACGCTGTGTGTGCAGGAGAAACATCTCCCACACTGTCGGCTCTAGCTGACGACAGCCTCCGAGGATACTACAGGAAACAGGAGGCGCGTTCACAGTGCCTCCTGTGTCCTGATAGCACGTTTGATGTCTTCAGCTAAACGTGAAGACATCAAACGTGAGTCCTGCGCATCAGGCAGGGCATAACTCGGGAGTACCTCTGGTGGACGTCTGCGTGACTGCCACTGGAGGTGCTCATAGATCCTAAGGTAAACACTGTATTTTCTCAGAAAATACAGTGTTTACATGAAAAAGTCTGTACTCACCTGAACAACTCCATTAAGCTGAAGTTGATCAGGTGACTATATAGTGTCCCTTTAAGTAAACCTAGGCAAAGATATAAGAAATAATAATTTATGAAACTTTCCAACAAAGACCAATAGTAATCATGATTTTTTTTTGTGAACAATAATTATGGTATTTGAGGAAATAGTACCAGTAATCATTAATCAATTGTTTGTTTTAGTAAAATAAATACATTTCCGTTTAGACCTTTAGTGCATACCTTCTCCGGATAGCAGAATCTAACACCCATGGTATATTTGTTGCTCCCAAAACCAATATGCCTTCATTATCAATTCCAACCCCTAGAATTAAAACAAAGTATTTAGATATTGTAAAATAGAATTAGCAAGCCAACAAAATCGCTTTACATTGCTGCTGCAACATATAAAACAAAACATTTTTAAAAATATAAAACCTTCACTAAGACAAATATTTTGTTAAACCGCTGCACACTGACTCCTACAAGTTAGTATCAAAGTAATACCTTGCATCTGCACTAGAAACTCTGTTTTAATTCGACGAGCAGCTTCACTTTCATTCTCACTTCTTGACCCACACAGTGAATCAACTTCATCAATAAAAATGATCGAGGGTTTGTGTTCTCTGGCAAGCTGAAACAAATTCTTTACCAATCTGAAAAACAGATATTTATTTCATCACTTTCAAAAATACACTAATTTATATCATGCACATATACAAAGCCAACTCACTTTTCACTCTCTCCTAACCATTTCGACACAAGATCCGAAGAGGATATGGAGAAAAATGTAGAGTTATTTGCTTCTGTAGCCACAGCCTTGGCCAAGTAGGACTTCCCTGTTCCTGGAGGTCCAAAGAGAAGGATTCCTCTCCATGGAGTTCTCTTACCTAAGAAATAAGTTTGAAAACTATTTCCAATGACTGCAATGAATTTGGAGGTCATAATATTGTAAAATTTGACTTTTTGAAATAAGAGTACAATATTTACAGGATGTGCATTTCAGCTGTTGCAACGAAAAAAATTAAAAATAAAAATAAAAACACACATACATAAATTAAGCTTGGATGCAGTATGTGGGTAGGTTGACCGTGTGGAGGTGGCAAGGCTTTAAAAGTTATGTGCCACTGCAAGCATCGAAAGTCTATGTCCTATTTACCAGGGCTAAACTTTCACTTGCCAATGGTTAGTGGAAATGTTGATCCCAATAAACATATTCAAGGTATAAAAAAAGGAAGAAGGAGCTACTTGCATTTTTATATATAGGTACACAAATACTTTGTTTAAAGTAAAAAAACACAAAAACAAACAAACAGATACGTGGATGATAGACAAAAACTGCAAGTTATTCCATCTCAGGAAACCTCAATCATTATTTTGCACTTGTGCCATAACCAAGGAAATCTATACTACAAGTACTAAAAACTAACTCCACCCACAGAGGCACTTCAAATTCGACTACTCTACGCACTGGATGACTAGTACATTAGGCATGTGCCAATACCCTTGTCACAGTGAGAAAAAGTCCCATGAACCAACCAAGAAATCTGGAAATACAGAACATGCTAAAGGGCTCTGGAGCCATGTAAGGTCAATGGACCATGGAAAAGCAAGGGTATATATAGGCCCAGGCCCTTGCGTCACATGGACAGTTTTTTTTTTTTTTTTTTAATATACAAAAGGTTCCTTCCTGCTCCCACGGAAACCTAGCTGTATAAACTCAGTACTGTGCAGATGCCATTTAGAAAGCTACCACTTCTCAATAAATCTGTATGGACACAGTTTAATTAAACATGACCAGAAATGTACAATGCAAGTAAAAACTTAAAATAAGAGGGGAAAAAAAAAAAAAGTAGTAACATTTCACCTGTGAAAAGATGAGGGAATTTTATTGGCAAAATCACAGCTTCTTTGAGGGCTTCCTTTGCACCTTCAAGTCCAGCAACATCATTCCATTTCACATTTGGTTTCTCCATGACAATGGCACCTTTAAGAAACAGAGAAAGATTAGAAATTCCGCCAGAGAACAGTATGAAGAGACATGTATCTCTTTGGGACAATTGCAATTAAACATGTATCACCTACTTATTGAAGGTCTTCTTGCTTTATTCTGGTTTGTACATTTGTTTAATAGGGTTTGTTTGCTTTTCAAAAAAATAAATAAATTGTCAAGTGATGCATGTCCCTTTCAGCTGCCAGAAATAGGTATGCAACTACCAAATTAAGGAGCCAGAATAGGCATCATAACCAACAACTGTGTTTAGGAGGTCACACAAGGCGGAAAAGGAACAAACTGCACCATTAAATTTATTTATATAATACCAACATATTCCGCAGTGCTCTACAATAGCTAAATAAGACACATACTAAATTTTCAGATAATATGATTGACATAAGGAACAGAAAGTGAAGAGGATCCGGCTTTCTATAGATAAGAAATTATTACTATTGAAATTGAAGGGTATATGTACACAGTAGGTTGAGCTTCTCAGCAGTTCCATTCTTGAGAATCATAACTCCCTGGCATATGAAAATCTCTGTAAAAATACATGTATTTAACCCTATGTAAAGTGGTTTTAAAATTTTACTTAAAAACTCTTCTCTCATAGGAAGGACTAGGGACATCTGTGTATTTTTTTTTTTTAAATACCCCTTTTTAAAGTAATTGCAAGCTGTAGAAAGTTATGACAGAACACTTGATTATGTATTCTATAATTAGGAACTTCTTTGTCTATCACTATGGATCTGGCAATTTTAGGGATACTGTATCAAAACTTGCCTGTCATCTACTTTAAAAAGTATATAAAGAATAAAAGCACACACACACACACAATTTTATTTACCTTGAAGTTGAGTCTTCAGCTTTTTCTTTTCTGGATCTTCTGAATCTCCTTCATCGCTATCATTTCTAAATACAAAAGAAGATATTGCTAAACATATACACTTTCACTGCCAGTGACAAAAATGCATCAGCTGAATATTTGAGATGTTGAATGGACATTTGGAGTTGGCCAACCTTTTAATGGGGCACTATAGTTACCAGAACAACTACAGCTTACAACTGCAACACAGTATAATCAGTCCCTTTAGGCTTTTTTGCAATCAACACATTTTTTTTTTAGAGAAAAGACAGTGTTTACATTACAGACTAGGGATACCTTCACTGGCCACTTCTCAGATGGCTATTAGAGGTGCTACCTGGAGCACCTTCCTGCCCAGTGTGCAGCACTGACATTCAGGGTCTCCACCCTCTGCGTGAAGAAACTGAACTTTCCTCATAAGGAGATGCAGATTGGCCAGGGTGGTGTTGGGCTTGTGCTGACTTTGCCCCTGATCTGCCTCCTTGACACTCTTAGCCAACCCAATGCTTTCCTATGCTTTTCCTTCTTATGATGTCTGCCAAATAGGCAGATCAGGGGCAGAGCCAGTATTTGCAGACTGGAATAAAAGGTTAGATTTTACTATATTTAGGAGGGCACAGTGGGGGGCCAGATTGTGTTTTAAGACTATAGGGTCAGGAATACATTTGTGTACCTGGCCCTATAGTGCTCCTTTAATGCATAGCAGATAATGAATTAAAACCAATAGTCTGTTCAAATTTAAAAATATGTAAAAAAAAATAAAAATACTCACATATCAAGTTCCTAAAAATCCTCAGCAAGAGCTATTATTTCTGCCTAGTACAAGTACATTTAGTCATCACGATGCTCCTATATCTTTTTAATGCAGTGTGGATCATATAATTTAACCATGTACACTGCTGGTGTTTCAGAGTTGCAGTAACAGCTGTATCCTGATTTGAAAACTTGAACAGGGACTTCTAGAATCTCCTCCAGTCAGCTCATAAGGGGTCCGGTGGATCCATGGGATTCAGATGACACTTTTCCTTTATTTATAAATCGCCATGAGTTAATTGCAGATCAGTCCAAACGCCCCTGCCCCTCTGGGAGGGGTGGTACAGTCAGTTAGACTACACCGGCTTGGTCTGTTGGGTACTGTTAGAGTCATGTGCCTGCACTCCAAGAACACAACCAAATGAAGCAGTCTGTGCCCTTTCCAGGAGTCCAAAAAAAAAAAAAAAAAAAAGGAGGACCCACGGACTGACAGCTAGTTATACATAGTAAGCAAGAAGGCTTATCCTGAATAAGAATTGGATATTAAACAGCTTTGATATAATAGAGGATGACAAGCAATTAATATGCCCCTGGAACCAGTTCTTGATCCTGCCCAAGTAAAAGCTACAAGTAGATACAAAAATCTAGGTGAAGATGCAACTGATGGGGAAACCAATTGAGAACCATCCCTTTCCACGATTAATATCATATTTACTTGTCCCCTGTATTAAATATGTATTTTTGAGGTCTGATAAATAAAAAGTTAAAAAAGAAATCCTAACAAGTACATTTAACTCTACCCTGGCAATCACTGTTATAAACTCTGCCCCTTGCACCAACTAGTTGGTAGGAAAAGGAGAAAAAAATAAATAAATAAAAAAAAATTAGAAACAAGGTTTGTTTATCCTCCTCCAATATGTGCCCTCTTTGCAGAGGACTGAAATTATGATGTCAATTACTAAAGCTTTACTGAAACAAAATTCAGGTTTAAATAAAAATGAAGAATTACGTGAAGTAAAAAATAGCTTTAAAGGACCACTATAGTGCCCTGAGGGTGCCCCCACCCTCAGGGTCCCACTCCTGTGGCGCTGAAGGGGGAGGAAGGAGTTAATCCCTTACCTTTTTTCCCCAGCACTGGGCTCCCTCGGCGCTGGGACTCTCCTCCCTCTTCTGACGTCCCTGGCTGAATGTGCATGCGCGGCAAGAGCCACGCACGCATTCAGCCAGTCTCATAGGAAAGCATTCTCAATGCTTTCCTATGGACGCTGGCGTCTTCTCACTGTGAAAATCAGTGCTCTAGCAGCTGTCAATGATACAGCCACTAGAGGCTGGATTAACCCTATTGTAAACATAGCAGTTTCTCTGAAACTGCTATGTTTACAGCAAAAAAGGTTAAACCTAGCTGGACCAGGCACCCAGACCACTTCATTAAGCTGAAGTGGTCTGGGTGCCTATAGTGGTCCTTTAAGACAAGTTATAGGTGATTTTCCATGATTTATTCAGTGGTAGTGTTTCCAGAGAAGTGATGCATTCCCTTTTAAGTAAAATAAGCTAAATACCAAACATTAAATAAGAATCAATGAACAAAAAAAAGGAAGAAATTGCCATGAATCATAGGATTATGGATAATACGGGATACAAGTAATGGAGATTATTCTTAAAATATGCATATAAAAACACCACATCAACAATCGTATTGATTTCATTCTCTAAACTACATACCCTTTATCCTCAGAACGTGGTCCACCTTCCTTTACTGGTTTAGGAGGGGCCTTTTCCTTTTTCTTTAGGTAAGCCTTCAACTGTTCTGCTCTGTCTAAGTATTCTATGCACTTGCTTCTGATGCTCTGTTTTGCCTTTTCACCTTGTGCATCATCTACAAATGCAATAACAAAATTAGAGAGTTACATTTCAAGTGAGATATTGCAGTGAAATAATGAGCCTGCTGAAAAGGTTGGTGTGTAACTTCAGGGTCACATTGGTCATGTTGGAATCCCAACACTGCCTTTTATCATTCTTAGTTGTAGTATCCTGTGGCATTTTGTTATGTGCTTTGATGCCTCAGAAAACAAATGTGATGTATAAGCACAGGATTTTTATTAACCGTTGCTTGGTTATTTGACTTTTGCAGGAGATAAAGATACACTCCAACTACCATAAACACTGTAGTTCTCTTAGAATAAATCAATCAAACTATTTAGAAATGGTTTGACAACATACCTGGTGTTTGACAGGTGCCCATCAAAATCTGCCCTGGAGCTGGAAGCGCCGCAAAGAGTTTGTTTTCTCCAGTGAGCTAAGCCTTGCTGTGCAGAGCTGGCTTGTTGGCTGAGGGTGTAAGTTAAGTGCTATCAGCCAATGAGCTAAGCACTACATGGCCAAGTTTAGTTCAGTGGCAGGGCTTCCGGCTAGAGATGAGGTGGTGACGGCAGACACCAACAGATCCCAAGTAAGTTGTCAAACCACTCTTAAGTGGTTTGTCTACTTCTTCCTGGATGGCAACACTACTGGCTCTATAGCCATTATATAAGGCTGGAGTGTTTAAATGAACAACAGGGATACAAATGTGTATTTCTGACCCTATAGTGTCTATGTAGCCCTCTGGATCCCTGCTTGACTCCCTTAAATCTAGTAATAACTCACTCCATTTCCAGTGCCACACAGGCCCGCCAGCGCGGGCTCCGTCCCACATAATCAGAATTGATGATCTCAGTCAATCACAATGCTTTCCCATATGATCTCAGTCAAGGAGGCGGGGCAGGGTCAAATGCCCCACATTGAATCAACATATCTCTATGCAGAAAGTTCAGGGTCTGCAGAGAATGGAAACGCGGAACAACAGTGCTGCACACTCTGCAGCACTGACCAAGGAATCACCTCTAGGTGCCCTTGGCTGTAGTGTAAACACTGCCTCTGCTCTGAAAATACAGTGTTTACATGAAAATGTAAGCAGAGACAGACTATACTCACCAGAACGACTACAATAAGAAATTGTTGATCTGGTGACTATAGTGTCCCTTTAAGGTGCTTGGATTGCTGCTTTAAAAAGTTAAATTCTCAGAACGTGATATTGAACATTAAATATTTAAAGGAGTACTTCATGGGAAAAAAAAAAAAAGTTCTCTCTTTTGGTGCCCTACACATTGTGTTATTTAAGATAAAACACGTTTTTTTATTTCTAAAGACACATTTAAAGTTTGTAATCAGTCCAGTGCTAAGATCAACTTGCCCATGCTATCAACCTATGTTTTGTAGCTTGATGATCGTTGTCCCATCAAATGCTACCAATATGGAAGCTTTAAGGACATATGGTGCATGCAAGACTACAGTGCTTGCAATTAAACAGATGCTCACGTAGAAAATATCAGTTTCTTCTTATCACCTTGACAATAGGTGTCAAAACCCATATCCACAACTAAACTTTAAAAAGCAGAGTTAAATCTAAAATCCAGACACTTATAGCTCTTCTTTAGTCCTGACAAATGTCTAATTTGCATTAGACAAATAAATAAAAACAACCCCCCCACCTCCCCCCCAAAAATAGTTTGTATAACCTACATTTTACCACATGGAGAAAATATTGTACAGCATGCTGGTATAAACGTAGAGCTTCTTCATAATTTCCTGCTTTGTCTTCCTGAGATGCCTTGCTAGCCAAGTCAATTGCTTTCTGTAACAAAATACAAGTTTTAGTCAAACAAATAAAAAGTTTATTCGTATATGTAGCATATTTTGTGTGTAGTATATCGTTAGCAGTAACTTATAGTACGTGGATTTGATGCTGCACAAACTTAAAATGACACTAAGCTAGGGGAAAAAGGTGCCAAGATGATTGACTGGAATTCTTACACGGGGCTACTGCAACATGATAATAAGGAGAATGTTATGCTTTATTTACACTGATTATACACACAATTTCGTTTGAGAAACACAGACACATGAACAGAAATATTAAAATAAATTATACAGAGCTATTATGCAGATATGCCTAAAATATAAATTAACCCTTTAAATTTTGTCACAAGAAATAAAGAACACAAAACCAAAAATGGGACAGTCTGGTCACCACAACAAATTCATCTAAATGACGTTATGACGACAGGAGGCACCATGGTGCACTCTTAAATTAATGCATGTTTGACTGCATTCAGTCCAATTGTCTTGCATCAATAAACCTATAAAGCGGCTAATGTAAAAGGCATGTTTGTATTCATGGTCGGCGTATCAGTGTTAAGGGGGTTTTGGAGTAGAATTAGGGTAATTGATGATTAGAGGGTTTAAAGATTTAGGTGCAATTACCCTGCTAGTTATCAGGGTTATTGAATGATTTTGGGTATGATTTATAGCTCTAAAGCTAAACTTAAACGGTGGCTAACAAGTTAGCTTCATAGGGCAACAGCTTACCCGCACTATGGAGAATGCAATTAAGGTACATTAAATTAAATGTGTTTGTGAGTGGGGGAGAGAACACCCTCAAAACTGCATAATTGGCATGTCAAAATTAACAGGTGGTGCAACACATGAGGGTAGGCTACGAGGCAGCCTGTACAGGCTTGTATCTGGAGAGCGTCCAAATCGGAATTAGAAATATAAACACAACAGTTCAAAAAGTAAAAAGAAATATAAGCAACAAAAAAGTAATTGGAAAAAAAGATAACACATTAGCAATGGAAATGCAACAGAGGCCTCAGAAAGTCTTCCAAACCTTGTGTGGCATACTACCGCTGAGGACTGTATACAAGGTGCCATTTAGGAGACCACCACAGTGGCTGAGTGGCCTAGGGGACACATGTGTAAATACAAGGATGTTAGAGGGTTCCAGGCTTGTCAACGGTGTATTTATATCTCTCTTAGCTGAAAGAAGCCCATACAGCTTACCAGTTCTAGATGGGTTCCATGCACGGGGAGGTTAGCCCTGGTATGAAAATATGAGCACCTTTGGGGACACTTCCCCGGGACAGAGAACCTACAACAGCAGCTAAGATGACATCCACCAAACTAGAGTATTCTTCAGGAGGTCTGGGAAGATGGAGTGACTAGCCCCAAACTGCCGTGAGGAATATGGCTTTTTCATGTGTGGTTTGTAAGTGGATGATAAGATCTTGGTGATCTCAGCCAAACCAATGTGGAAGTTATTGTGTATAATGCGAAGCGCCAATTAACAACTCCTCATAGAGATGCATTAAAATCAATGCATCTCTGTGGGGAGTGTGTCTATTTAGAGCGTGGAGACGTTGAATGTAGGTGCTTGCTTCACACTGTGCAGAACTGACCCAGGAAGCACCTCTAATGGCCTGAGTGACTGGCACTAGGCAGCATTGTAAGAATTGCCTTTAGTCTGAAAAGGCAGTGTTTACATTGAAAAGCCAGCAGGGACATGCTATAACACACCAGAACCACTACATTAAGCTGTAATGGTTATGGTGACTATAGTGTCCCTTTAAATATTATTTCACACATAACTGAGAATGCCAAAAGCATTCAATAATTATCAATCTTTAAAACAAACACTTATATGCTTAATAAAACACGAAGGAGTGACTCTTCAAAAACCAAATATGGTGAATCTGGCAACTCTAATCAGATTCCATCTACTGTCCCCAAATATAAAATATTGTGGCGCAACACTCCAGTACATTCTAAAAAGAGCCTGGTGTGTAAATGTGATTACAAAATAGGGCTAAACAAGAATGTATACTACTTGTTCAGGTTGCATTGGAGTGTGTGAATGGAAAGAGGCAAGGCCAGTTTAGAAAGTTTCTTACTTCAAATATGTCAGGCACAGAATAGGTTGACAGGGTACATCAGGTAGAATACGTCGTTTTAAGGTGTTTTAACTTGAGATGTCAATTTGACATTGTAATTAATAATAGGATGATGGGATTTTTAACTCATCTACCTGGTTTTGAACATGAAGTAAAAAAAAAAAAAAAAAAAGCTGGAAGTCATACTAACAATACATGAACTGTTAATAGATATTTGTTACTGGCACTCTAGTAAGCAATCAAACGAAACAAGCTCGGTGCTGGTATTCACATGTATCAATGTAAGTTGTACTAGTGTGAACATTTGGCTTCCCTGCCTGTGGATCAGATTGGTTCCCCTGTCACACGGTATCCTATAGTAACAGGTAAAACAGATTTAGGATACAAAATGAATTGGATCCACTTACCTGGACTCCCATCAGCCACTCTCTCCCGGATACTTACCGTCATCCTGTGTCAGCCTGGCATGGCCTGGCAGGTTCTTCTGCCCTGCATTACGTACTCTCTGTGTATACTCTCTGTGTACACTCTCTGTGTACACTCTCTGTGTACACTCTCTGTGTACACTCTCTGTGTACACTCTCTGTGCCTGGTCCCCGCTGTCGGACTGTGATACCGTGATAGGAGTGCAGCACAGCGCGGTGTACCAGGCGGCCCTATGAAGGTTATGGGGGTTTCCGGTTATGGGGAGTAAGGCCACCGAGAGCTCCATTACCTGCAGGTTGGTCCCGTTGGCCGCCATTGTAACCGGATCCGTGGGTCAGTCCGTCTCCCGATGTGCCGGGTTTGTGGGTTGTACAATGTTTAACACGGGAATCTCTTCCTTCCGGGTCTATGAAGAAGAAGACGGTGTTTGGGGAGCCTTCTCACTTCCGCGTTGCGGGGCCTGAGCGAGACTGCGTCACATCCGACCAACCAATCACATGCCAGAGAGACTCCGAGCAAGACGTCACCAGGCTGCACCCCGCTTGACGTCTTGGAACTGTGGATCGAAACGCGCACGCGCAGATCAGAGTACGCGATCACATGAGAAGGAGTGCCGCGGCTCGAGAACAAAAGTCACCTGACCGGTGATGGTGGTGGCGGGCGGTGCGCACTTCGCTTCCGCTTTCATTGGATCAGGTTTCCGTGACGTCAACACACGCTCTCACTCTGGAACGCCTGACATGTTTTAGTATGCTGCACCGACCACGTGACCCGTGTTTCTGTAGAGCGTCTTGAGATGGCGGGACATGCAGAGACAGCTAGAGATAGAGACACATAGCTAGCTAGAGAGACAGAGATATATAGAGAGATAGATAGCTAGAGATAGAGATATATAGAGAGATAGATAGCTAGAGACAGAGATATATAGAGAGATAGACAGCTAGAGACAGACAGAGATATATAGAGAGATAGACAGCTAGAGACAGAGATATATAGAGAGATAGACAGCTAGAGATATATAGAGAGATAGCTAGAGACGGATAGCTAGCTATATATATATATATATATATATATATATATATAGCTAGCTAGCTGAATGTGAGTCAGGGCATAACCATAAACTAGAAAACCCCAATACCAAGCATACACTACATAGTGTGTCTGCCAGCCCCGCAGCCGTGTTTAGTAAAGGGAGCTGTTATTGGAGTGCTTTGTCATATGTTTTCGTGTTTATTAGATTAGAATTATTTCTTACCTTTACAGATTGCTTGGTTTTGTTTTTTTAATCCCTTCATGGATACATTTTTCCTCCCATGTTTCTGTGTGATCACGGCTCGTTTTAGGGATGTTTGCTATTATAATAATATCTGCTGTTTTAGTGTTTCACAGCAGTTATGCTAAATAATGCAGATTCCATTTTGCAAACAAGAAATTCCATTCAAAATTTGTGGGAAATGTCAGATAATTATTGCTGAAATAACTATCTTCTAGCCTTGATCTAACTAGATTTTGTTAATGCTCATAACTACTTTACTGTGTCAATGGGGTGATTTTTGGTATCTAAGACTATACTTTTTGTGGTAAAAGTGTACTTTAGGGTATTTTATTATTTTTCAATTTTACTTAAAGCAAATAGCATATTTTATTAAGTCATTATTAAAGTAAAAATATTATGGTATCATTAAAAGTAAATATAAGAAAAATTGTAATGAGAACTATTAACAGTAACTGGGTTCATCCTGTGGTACACAACCATCCCATCAAGAATTAAACTGGGTAATTCTCAGCAATAAGCAAACGAAAACATTTTGGTTCCCAGTAGACGAGCGAAACTTAAATTCACGTAAATACTAAAGAAACAAGGTTTTCAACCTTGGTTGTATGTCATCAGCCGGCATGGCAGATTAAAATTGCCACAGTACATGGTGTTACCGAGTAGACGCCTCCTAGCTAACCACATCATGGCAGTGTCTGGATTTGGGAGATGGTATACTTACAGAGTTAGCCTCCAAATCTTGGTTGTAATGTGGGCTGGTTGCATAACTTCCCTGGGTGTACAACTGGCATTCTTAAAACTACCAGTCTTCCTGCTATACTTAGTTTAATGAAAAAGTTTATCGTTTATAATGTTTATTTTATTGTTTTATTATAAGCAGAGCATGTTTTCCCCCACGTAGCAGACTTCCGGCTATATTTGGCGCACGATAATAGCAATGCAGAAAAAAAAGAAATGCTACAATTCACGTGACCGAAATGGTGGTAATAAAATATGCTAAAATACACTTTTACTTTAACAAACAGATCAGCAATACTTGATCTGTCTTCATTTTAAAAAAAACAAAAAAAATACATTTTTTTTTAATCCACTTGGAACAAACTTGATTAAACTCACACCACACTATGCATTTGTTAACTGCAGAGACCAGATGCCTGAGTTGTATCCATGGTTAGACTGGAAATAAAATGACAAAGACAGGGCTAGACTGGAAATAAAATGCAGCCTTAAAAAAATATTGCACAGCATCCCAATGTTGCATCAAGTGCAAACATCCAAGGATAATAGTGATTAGATATAAAAACACAATTCATGTGTCACCGCAGCCCATGACATCAAGTATTGGGATGGAGTAATAGGGAATACATCAGATCAGTATAGGTATATAAAAGAAAGTCACTTTCGGCTACTTTTGGTTGTCTGGATTTGTTCCCAAGTTTTTGTTTGGTTCCCGAACTGAGACAACCCCAAAGACCCATTAGAATGTGGAATGTTAAGTATCTTGTACGAAAACCACAACGGTACTGATTAATTGAATGCTCCACTGCCCATTTTGTATCCCGAACGCAGTCAGCGGGACTTGGTCGTCGAGTGCCTGGAACTCATTTTGGCCAGGCACTCCTGCGAACACTGGTCATCATGGACCTGCTGCCCATTCCCGTTCCACTACACCTACACGAAGGGCGTTCGGGAGATATGTTCTACTGAACACAGGGAGCATTCTCTACTGATCTGCTTTTGTCTAACTTGTGTGGTTTTCTTACAAAACCCCACAAAGGAGACCGGCTCTTGCCACAACTTCCCTGGAACTATTTTGGGCTTAAACCTTATGGCAGACCTGTCAAAACTTCCCTGCGATGGTGATCCAAAGCTACCAAACGGATCTGTGTGATTTTTGGATATTTTGTTTGCGCAGATCCCCGCTTTACAGGGATGTGACTTTTGTGGGTTTTCCCTGTATTTTGGGTGTACTTTTGGGGTGTTCCAAAATTTATATACTTTTCTGTCCCTGGAGATAATTGAGTTTGTACAATTCCTGACTCAATTATCTCTCAGGTACAGATGAGGCGTTTACTGATTATATAAATTTGATGCATGTACTTCCATTTAACCAGTCTTCTCCCAGCATTCAGCCTTGGCTCATGTGTGAGGGTTTATGCTAAACCAGCTATATTTTGCCTGTGGGATTATTTGCTTGTTTATATTGAAAAAAGGGTATCCATGGCGGTGATACCTTGGCATACCGCCACACTCACAATCTAAACATTCAGCCATTTCATGTGCATAAATTATTGGTAACTAAGCGCATAAAAAGCACTGGAATTTCTCTGCTAAACCCTTAAAGATATATTTTAGGCACCGTAACGTCATCTAAATTAAGTTGCTATGGTGCCAGAATCCGCTGGCACACTCTTACCTTTTAAATTTAGTTGTTATGGTGCCTGGAGAGTTAATTTAAGGAGGGAGCCAATTGTCCAAGTTCTGAACCAAAACAAATTAGAATTTGAGGTATATTTTATTTATTTATTACTGGCATTTACAAAGTGCCAACATATTCTGTACAATTGGGAAAGACAACACAATAAGAACAGACCAATACAAAAGGTAGCGGGCCTTGCCCGTGAGCTTACAATCTAAAGGTTAAACTGGGGAGATGAGACAAGAGGTAGCAAAGGGATTTGTATGTGATGGCAGAGAGAGTTAATAGTATAACTGCACCAGCTGATAGCCTGTGAAGGGGACAAGGTGATTGACTGTGGTTCCAAACAGCTGGAAGAGCATTCTATATAGTTAGAAGGAACCAGGGTAGGCGGGTAGAGCTATATAAAAGTAAAAGGCCTTGTAGCAGGGATTGATGATGACTTGGGGCTAAATGTTTGTTCATCCATTATTTAGCTTTTCACATTAAATGCACCCACACTTGTTATATATAATTTTGATCAGGGCAAAGGGCTCTTCATTTGACATGAAATATCTATACATGTAATATGAATAAAATCTGAAAAAAGTGTAAGAAATTAAAATTAAACTTTTATGTTCCTAAATACAATGGCCCCTCCGTGTAGGTTTGATGGATTGCATGGAAGTTGCAGGGCCAATTCTGAGTTTGTTTTCATACATAGAAATTTGACAAAATTATTTTCTAGGCCTATGTCGGTTTTGAGGCAGTATGGCAAACCGGGAATGAAAACTACCCCCCATGATGGCATACCAATTGCAAAAGTAGACAACTCATGGTATTCCAAATGGGGATATCCAGTCTTTTTATTTTAAGCAGCCACTTTGTGTTTGTGTTACTTGCCTTTATCTGGTACTGTGTATTTAATTTTTTTTGTATTGTGTTCCTCTCCTGTAGCTTTCTCTTAGTCTAGTCCTGTTATTTCATACTTTAAGGTCCGGTAATACACTTCTTCCTATCCCTCTTTTTTTTACCATTGCTAGGTTGCTGCCTCGTGCCTTTCTGAGGATCCTCGAACCAAATGTCACGCCTAGAGTGCATAATTCGTTATTACACTATGGAATATTATCCTTTAATGTAATTTGGGCAGTGCCTGCCTGGTAGAGATGGAATATTGTCAAGGTCAAAAGGGGTTAATTTGATTATATGAAAGGTCAGATGACAGAAGGGGTAATGTAAATTGCATAGAAATGTGAAAAGGGTTTTATCCTATGAATGGATCTTGTGATTACTCAAAGGCTCTGCAAAGTGTGAGATTTAACACTGGAAAAGTCTGAATGTCTGGCTCAGCCATATGGCCTGTACTTCTTAATTGATGTGTCAATCTCATTGATATGTTAATGGCCATTAGCCTTCTTCCAGTATCATATCCAAAACATCTACGTTTGTTCGTCCACCCATATGTCTGCCATATTAGGCCGCAAGTAAGGAGTGCAACATGTATAGAATGGGAAAATAATAACAAATTCGTAGATGCAATTATTATTTTTGTGGCGGGTACATAAGAGAAGATAGAACCAAATGTTTCCATTTGGATTGATGTTGGTCTGGAACACAAGGGGGTAGCCACTCATTATCTCAATAGATACGCCTTAACTCCACCTCTAGACCAGGCGTGGTAATCCATAGGGTATATATCCAATGATACTGAAATGTCTGTGTACTTGCTTGGGGCCAAAATCTTTTATGGAGTAAGTCACCATCCTCTTTGCCGGAGACCCCTGGGCAGAAGTTTTACTTTGAAAACCTAAGTGAGTAAGTGTTTAGGACTTCTGTTATTTTATCCCTTTTTGTTTTTATCTGGTGTTGGTGTAAATAAT